TGTATCCGTGTCTTTAGGTATGTATTTGCAATTCCTTAACTTAAACCTCAGAGCTCGGTTTACACGTGCAGTTGCCGAGCTTCAATTTTTAGGTTTCATCAAGTCCTCCAATCGTAAGACTGATCATGTAACACGACTCACCTGGTGTTAATATTTGTGTCTCTTAATAAACACCTAATGTAATTGCTCTGCATGGAATCCTCTCATTTTTGTGGAATAATCTCAGACTTGAAATTTTATTACCAAATATACTCCTTATATACTTAAAAACAGTCTTTATTTTATTTATTGGTTAAACCCAATTTCCTTTTGACGAATACGACAGGACCTTTTCTAGTGATGTACATAAAATTATTCCAGATACACTAGAACTATAATAGAAAAATGTGTGCAACATATCAATTTTCATGTAAATTTTTTAAAGCCTCTTCTTCTTAGCAGCAACGATGTTAGATAATATTGTTGTAATGTCTTAGCATCTACTGATAATTGAATCCGTCATTTAATACCGATTTAGAGAAAATCCAGAACAGCATATTACATTTTTAGAAAGCTGGCGAGTGGAGTTAAATTCGTTTTCTTTGTGGCACTGGCCTTATCTAGGTAAAAACGTTAATGAGATCATGTGTTTGTTGGGGCGTTGGTGCTGGTCCACTAGTGCGACAGCGACAAGGCCTCGTCGTGGTCGGCCAGTGATCCGGCCATCGCTGGGGACATGTCCGAACCCAGCTCCGAAGGACAGGGACTGCGTCCCTCGAGCCGCGCCTTGACTGTAGCGAGACAGAATCACGTCAGTGAGAATCACTCAGGCCGCCCTCGCCGCCACTGCACCGCACCGCACCGCTCTGCTCACCGAGCGCAGCCGCCGGGTTGGTGGTGAGGTGGTGAGCGGGCAGCGTGCCCGTCGACCCGAGGGTGCGGTGGCACGTGCTCATCATCACCACCTCCTTGGTGTTCTTCTCCGGCTTGAGTATCACGATGTACACCTTTGGACAGAACAGGCAGCCCAGCTGCACCAGCCCGCTGAAAAGAGAACTCGAGTTACACGCGCTGTGCCCCTCTCCTCACGACGCGCCGCCGGTCCCACAGCACAGCACAGCCCGGCCGAGAGCGCCTGTGAATCAACAGGTAGGCCTCCCGCCCCGCAGTGGTGCGCGCCGGACCCACCGCTTGCCTACCCCGGAGCTCGCAGGGGCCCCGGGCTCCAGGCCGCCAGGGCCGGCAGGCTCCTACCTGAGGGACAGCGACATGGCGAGCGTGACGGTCCGGAGCGCCGTGGAGGTGGACGCGAGGTACAGCGGCACGAACGCCAACCAGATGATGGTGACGGTGTAGGTGGTGAAGGCGATGTGCCGCGTCTCGTTGAAGCCTCCCGGGCACTTGCGCGTCTTGACGGCGTATACGACGCACAGGCCTGTGGCACAGCAACGAGGGCGGTGAGCAGACCGAGGACGATGACAGAGTGGGGAAAAGGAAAGGGGGGGGGGGGAGCGCAGAACCGTACCGATGAGGACGAGAGGGTAGATGAGCCCCACGAGGTACGAGTAGTTGTCGAGGCCCACGCAGATGCGCTGCCGCACGTCTCTGCTGGGGAAGTGGTCACGCACCCGGGCCGGCTCGTACGTCAGCCACGCCAGGTTGATGAGGGCCTCCACTGACGTGAGGAGTGCCGTGATGACCAGCTGGGACCCGGGGGACGTGTACCTGCGCACGCCAGCACACGTTACCATCCTCTTCCGGAGGGAGTATTTTATTTAACTCCAAAGACAATCAGTGTCCACCCTCCCAAAAAAAATCAAAAACATAATAATCAGAAGACTCAAAACTTTAATTTTAGAAAATCAAGAAAAAAATCGGTGTGCGCTTGAATTTATAGTGAAGTAGCCCCCCCCCTTTTTTTTAAACCGGAAACTCCCGACCTTATCCCTGGGGATCATTAGATCTTTTGGGGTGTTGACCTCGACCGACCTCGTCTTCTTTGGTCCCGCTCCAGGACACTGGTTGAAGATCCGGGCGATGCGGTTGGTCTTGGTAAGCACGGCGGCGTACGACAGCGTGAAGCAGAATCCCAGGGCGAAGCGCGTCAGCCCGCACGTGGCGTTGGTGGGCGGCGCCACCATGACGAACGTGACCAGGTACGAGGCCAGCTCGGCCACCAGCAGCAGCGCCGACAGCTCGCGGCCCGCGGCCTTGATCACGGGGGTGTTGCGGTGCGTCCAGAACACCGCGGACACCAGCACCGTGGCCACCAGGCCGAAGCTGGCCACGGCCATGGCCGCGATGGCCCAGGGGTGCGTGTAGCCGATGTGTTCCTCGGGCACCAGCAGGCACTGCAGGTGGTCGGGCGTGGGCCGCGACCCGGCGGGGCAGTCCTCGCACGTCCAGTCGTTCTGCCGCACCTGGAACTCACCGCACCCGCGGCAGTACCAGCAGCAGGCGTCGCGCTGCGGACAAGAGGGGGCGCGCTTTAGTTCGACGGAAACATTTCATTCGCTGTTTTAGCAAAATGTTTTCTTAAACAGCAAAACCTTTTGCTAAAACAGCGAAAACAAAAATGTGTTTGCTGCAACAGCAAAACGCAAATACCCGAAATTTGCTGTTTTAGCGAACAGGCTTTTTTGCGTGGGAATTTCCAAACAAATAAAACTTTTGATAAAAAGTTTCAGACTTTGGAAAAATAAATAAAAAAAGAACATTTTTTGAAAATTAAAATCCCTACTCCACGAGCGCGAAGCGCACTCACCGCCCTGGTTTTTATCTGGCCCGCTCTGCAGGTCGGCGTGCAGGTGGAGGACGGTAGCGGCGCGTCCGCGCGGCTCCGGATGCTGGCGCTGTCCACGTGGAGGTGCGGGCCGGAACCGTCCTCGTTCACTGCGCTCAAGAGAAGGTCCCCGTCAGTCCCCCGTCCTCTGTCTGAGGCTGATCGCCGCCGTCCACGTCGGCTTATGTCGGCTTACTCGTGTAGTCCCCGACGCTGACCCAGCCGTAGCGCGGCGGCCCGGCGGCGCTGGCCGGGCTGCTGGCCGCGCCGATGGTGCGCTGGTAGTTGAGCACCGAGTACCTTGGCGGTCCGTCGCGCCCGTTTTGGAACGTGAACCGGTTCCTGTTGACGTCTGTAAGCGCAGATTCTTGTCGATAACGATACACGAAAAAAATATGATAAGCTGTATTGCTAAACCCACATAGCTATAATAATTTATCTAAGTTGCTAATAATTTAACTATGTTTAGCTACATAGTAAAATTTTTAGCTAGCACACTTAATTTTTTGCTAGATAGCTATTTTTTTTGGCGACAGAGCTAAATTTTGAGCTCCACAGCTAAATGTATAGCCCATGTCTAGCTATAGCTAGGGACCGACCGTTGAACTGCACCCGGGCGAGGTAGTCGCGCAGCACCGTGCCCTGGATGTGCGACATGGCTGCGCACATGCCCGGCTCGCCGCCGCACCGGTCGCGTTGCAGGTCGGTCAGCGCCTGCGCCACGGCCCAGATGGCGTCGCGCACGAAGTGCAGGTAGCGCGCCTGGCGCATCGGCACCGCGCCGTGCACGTCCCGCACCGTGGCCCGAGGGTTGTCGCACTGGCCCTGCCGAACCACAACCAGAAAATCAGAAAAAAATCAAGAAAGAACCGAAAAATTTGTGTACTTTTGAAGGACCCCTTGGCACGACACTTCCGCCCCTTCCGCCTGTTTCCGCTTCCTCTCCTCGTCCCGCTTACCTTGGTGCTCTCATCGTCCCGGCAGCCAAAGTGGGACCGCCAGAGCTCCGTCCACCAGGGGTTGACCTGCTGGTGGTCCAGCTTGAGCGACATGAAGTACTCGTCGAAGCCGAAGAGCTGCCGCGACATGGGGTGCACGCATATGGATCCCTCCAGCAGCTTGGCCTGCCACCCTCCTGGGGATGACGAGACATGGTCGACGGTAAAGTTGCTGTTATTTTTCCTGCAGTCGATGAAGGTGTGACGACAACGCAAATCATCGCGAGACTCACGGTCCGCCCGCTCGCTGAACTTGTCCGTCCACAGGTCGGAGAAGACCCAGGTGAAGCGCTCGAGCACGTCCAGGTCGCGGGCCTTGAGGAGCAGCCTCACCATCGACGACTGGAAGCTCTCGGAGAACACGATGACGACTACGACCGCAAAACAATACGGAGCGTTAGTGGTGAGGCCCTACTACCCCCATGGGCCTGCCCACCCCTCCGCTTTTACTCACTCTTGGCCTCGGAGCTGTTGAGGCTGAGCACGACGTTGGTGGCCTCCTCGTCGGTGAAGTCCTGCTTGTCGATGCGGTGCACGGGCGAGGCGAAGCACACTGAGTAGTTGGCCGCCAGCGAGCTGAGCATCTCCCAGCCGTGCCGGCCGTACTCCGTGTCCGAGTAGGCCACGCTCACGTACGTCCACCCGAGCCGCCTTCATGGAATCCACCAACACCAAAAGTGGGCCGTGTTTTCTTTAACCGTGAGATTTTTTTTCTCCTCTCTTTCAACCCCCGGAGTGGAGGGCGTGACTTTGCAGCAGCGCCGGCGCCACCGTCTCTCCGGCCGGACCCGGACCACTCGGCTAATGGAAAGTGCATGATACCCCCCACCCCCACCCCGCCGCGCTCCGCCACCCCGCGCTTGTCGATGGATCATTAGCCCTGTCGCTCGGCTCGCCGGGCCGGCTCGCCCGTGTTCCCCCGCTCTCAGATGACAGCCTCAATGTGTTGTTGCTGTCGCTGCCAGCCGCAGAGATTTATCGTGGAATTATGTTTTTTCCCCTTTTCCACTCTGGCGTCTGCTTGTCGTATCGCTGTGCTCCTCGCGCCCGCTCTCTCCCATTTTCATTACCCCCTCCTCCTCCTCCTCCTCCCCATCCCTCCCCCTCCCTCTCCCCCCTTCTCTCAACCCTCATGTTTAGAGAGACGGGGGAGGAGTGGTGGTTGAGGATCGTCTCGTGCTGTATAAAGTGCATGCATTTATTACTACGCGGGCGCCACCACCACCGCAGGCTGCCTACAGCAGCCACACTGTTTGATTTCTTGCTTTCCTTTTCTTTGCCAAAGTTCATTTTTTACGCATCGTGGCAGGCGTATAAGATTATGCAGCACATCCCATCAGGAGTTACTCTGAATCAATAGGGAAGCATGAGCAAAAGGACTCGCATAGCCGACGAGGCGAATCTTGGGGCCAAAGGAAGGAGGAGGAGGAGCAAAGCAGAGCAGGAGCAGGAGCAAGAGCAGGGCTGCACCCCAAAACTTGCGCGACTGTTTTAATCACGAAGGAAACTTTATAAAGTGGCCCTCACGAGAGCTAGCTAGCGCGCCGGCAGCCGGCAGCGCGACGCCGCGCCACCAAGCGTCCGCCCATTAACCGCGTTAAACTCAGTGTCTGCGGGCAAGCCGACTGTGAATCCCGCTCATCATCCCCTTAATTGGAAACAAACAGTTATAATGCTGCTTCTCCTCGCCGCCCCACCGCGGGAAATTTTTGACTTGTATGAGTCGGCCTGTGCCGTGCGCGGTGTTTTTAGTAAACGGTATCAGTAGGAGGGGAGGGGTAGGGGTGGTGAGTGGTGTAAGGGGGTTTGTTGAGGTTTGCGGATCTCCTGTCCTCGGGGAGGACAGCGGTGGCGGGGCGGGGCGTGGCGGCAGCACTGCGTCAATCACTCGATGCATAACTCATGCGGCCCCCCCTCCTCCCTCCTCCCTCCTGGCCACCCCTGGGCGGCTGCCTGCGTTGGTCTAGCTATGCATTTTGCAGAAGCTGGTAGGGGAAACGGGGGGGGGGGGGTAACCCGATAGGCCCGAATTGAGCTATGGAGATGGGAGTGCTACGTGCAGTTTCAGGGAATGGAACCTCGAACTTTGATTCCATCCCGATTTCATCATCAGACCTTAATCCGACGGATTCCTTTGTTCCCCCAGCTCCGAATAGGGATTTTAATTTTCCGGTAAAGTAGTTTAGACAAGTTTAGGGAAATGTTTCAAGTATTTTTTT